GTATACAGTTAAAGTTTTAACAAAGTTCGAGCGAATACGTAATTAGCAAAAAAAAAGTTGAAATAAAGTGATTAAACAAACATTATTACGAATATCGTAAATAACAGTTCACAAATGCATATATAGAAATATTTTTTGAAGGGGGAAATGGTGTTCACAATTTGAAATCGATTGGACACACTGTGCTCTAATGCTCGTGTAAACGCGCCCCATCTATCGTAGGATAAATGTACTTTGCGGGATTGTATTAAAAAACTTTCCGAAGTTTTATGGCAATTGTACTATGCCACAAACCTTCGCCGGAGTATATTAAACAACTTCCCAAAGTTTCACGGCAATCGGATAAACGGTGTGATAATGCATGAAGGACAGACAGACACACACACACACATTCATTTTTATATATATAGATTAAAAAATTATTAAAAATATGATTAAAAATTGCAGTCTGGCATTTTGACAATGTCACAATAAATAATTGCTTGTTATTATTTTTAGTTTTAATTAACTGGCTGTCTAGTTGCATATAAATACAGACGAATACCCAATGCCCCCTCAAAGGTGAGCTGCCAGCTTATTGGATTTGCCGACATACTGGATGCAGTGTTAATGGAATTTCACTGTATATATATTATATATATGTTAAAAAATATATCTATTTATTTATATATATCATTAAATCAGAAAAAATCTATAGAGTTGTATTTTAATACAACTGTTTAAATAAAACATTTTAACATAAATCTACATTTGTTTTCTAATCTATTTTATAATTATTTCACTTCCTTAAAAATTTTTCCAATTAGAGCTTGATTCATTTTTATTAAATAAACTTCTCTAAATAAACATAACAAATAAATAAACAAGTATATGATTTTAACTTTCAGTAATCTGTAATCAAAAAGGTATGTTTTGGAAAACATGACCTTATTTGTTTGTTTATAAAATTGTTGTAACTTGTAAACTTTTATTTTAGTTGGCTGAAGAGGGGCAAGGAATGCCCAAAATACGTAAAAATACAATGAACACGTATCAACTGAATAAAATTTGCCAAGTGTCTGAATAAATACAATAATTGATTTGTGTTCAAATTACTAAAAATTACTGGCTCAGTTTCAAAAATACCAAAGCAAGAATAATTCTTCATATTGAGAAATGAAAGTCATAAATATGAAATTATATAAATAATTCTGAAGTTCTACCACCATTTCCAAAATTTCCAATAGAGTTGTTATAAGATATAAAAAAAAAAAAATATGTAACTGCTCTGAATTTTATGAAATTCATAAATATGAAATAATGGAAAATTTATTTATTGCATGTCCTCAATTAATCTCCAGGATTTAAATAAATATTGTTTTTGAATGAACCTCAAAGAATAAAGGTACCATTAAAAACAAAACCCTGGGTTGAAAAGCATGGAAATATGCACTGTATAAATTAACATCTTAATACCCTCAGCCATCTGGTTCAGATGATGAGTATGAACCAGGAGAGGGTAATCAAAATCCTGATGTTGACAATGACATTGAAACAGATTTAAATGACAATGTAACAACCGAATTGGAAGATGCTGAATTGGGTTAACTATGAAAATACAGTAGAGCGTCGTTTATCCGAAAGCTGGTTATCCAAAACATCCGTTATCCGAAAGCATTCCAGACGGCAAATTTAAATTTTCGTTAGTGCTGTGGTGCTTCAATCTTTGGCTATTTCTTGGGCTACTCAAATATTTTACGTTTTTGATACTAAATTAACTTCTGAAGTATAATTTTTTATTGTTTTTATATTTTTCAATAAATTTATTTTGTTTGTACAAAATAAAAAAATAATTTTTAACGATACAATAGTCTTTGTTAGGCTTAACATCAATGAAAATTCAATGCGAAGCGACACGCAACGGAGAGAAATTTTAACATGGGATAAATTAATATATTTTTTCGTGCATGATTCGTTATCCAAAAAATAAGTTATCCGAACCACTCCAGTTCCCAATTTATTCGGATAAACGACGCTCTACTGTAATAATTACAGGTATGTCTTGATTAATGCAGTTAACTAATACCTCAATGCTACCGCATTAAAATTGTATTAATCAAATATAGTATCTATGTTAAGTAAAGAGAGCTGGTAAAGCTGTGTTAATTAACAGTCTCAACCATCTTATAACAGTATTTTAAATATTGTAGGTGTAACCTTAAATTATGATAATTAAGGTATTCTTTTCAATTTTTACTCATTCATCTCCTGTTGCAAGGTAATAAACCTCAGCCTTGAAAAACCCCGGGTCTTCAAATAAACCCAGGGGATACATACATTCTGAAAATAATCCTCCTAGGTTTAATCAAGGAAATATGATAAATATTATATATTTCATAAGATTGAAATATTTCTTTTCATAACATTAAAAATAATGATTATAGACTCTGCTTATTTGATAGCTGACATTTTTTGTTCTTTTAAATAAATTATATTTTTTTAACATTTATAATGATACTCTGAAAAAGATATCTATCTCAATTAAAACTAGCAAAAGAAAAAAGAAATCTAATTTCAAATTTAATTTACTTGTAATCTGAAATATATAATGAAACTTGCATGAAATAATTTATAAAAAATGACATTAATTTTTTCAAAATTCATCTGCAATAAAAATGATTTTAAAAAAGTCATTTTTCTTTAAAAATCAGTACTATATCAATACATTGGTTCCATATCTTGTGAATAACCATAATAAAATTTAGATATATTCAACATTATCATCACATATCCTAGTCATCAGTTAAGCTGAATCCTATATGATATGAGCATAACAATAACTTATTTCTAAAATAAACTAATAAATATGTATTATATTATTTCAAAAAATAAAATAGTTTTTTCCTATTGTTTCTGAAATGTGATAATCATTGTTGTGTGTTGTTTGTGTTTGTGTGTTTGTGTGTCTATCAAACCAACAGTTAAATTTATGAAAATATTTTGCAACAAATGATTAATTTTCCTTTGATATCTGTTTATGATTTAAATCCCTAAATCTTGCAATCTTTGGCAGATAAAAAAAAATTAACTTTTATGAAGCATAAGAAAAATTAAAAAGGATTAAATATGGAAACTGTATAAGCTAGAAAATAGGTTCAAGGTTCAGTCAGTTTATTATTTTGACAGTTGCCTATTCAAGAATTTTGTCACTACATTGTCAATATTTAATGACACTATTAATTTGAAAAATACTAGTTTTGCGTTTAAATATGTGACATTATAACTATGATTATTAGAACTGTTTGTTGGCATAAAAAAATATTCAATTATCATCGTGATATATTCAAGCCAAAAAACAATTATCTATATTTTTATATAATCAGACATTCATAAAGTGTAAAAACATTTGAATTACTTTTCACAATGCAGCTGACTTGAATTTTGTATACCATTATTTTTCAGACAAATATTTGTTGCTATAATTTATCATTATTCTGTATTAAAACTTCAATAAGAAATATATAAAACTTCCAATTTAAATTTCAATGTAAATTTTCTTGATAAAACCAACGTATTTAAAATGAACCAACTGCTGCACAAAATAAATTATTCTATTCTATCAGAACACAATTCTTCCTATTTGTGTGAATGAGTAAATTATATAAATTTTAAGATTATTTTGGTAATAATAATTTCACTTACTTGACAGGTGCTGTAAACTGTAAAAGATCATGAGTTGTCATAGCACCTGGGACAGCTAAAATACATAACATTTCACTTCTTTCTGCTTCTTCAGCTAAAGGAGTCCTTTGGCTTTAAAAATTGAATAATACATTTACTACTACTTATGGTAAAGAAAATTATAAATAATTAAAAAATAAAAAATAGCTTAATTATTTTTCTGTTAATCTGATGTAGAAAGTTATATTCTGTTTGCACTTATACAGCTAAAAATTTAATATGAAATGAAAAAGTTATTGTTTCATTTGTAAGGTAGACAACAATTAATAATATTAAAGTCATGCTTTTTAAAGTGAAATGTAAGATAAAATTATTAGAGTAAGACAATGGATTTCTAAGTTTATTAATATTAAAAATATACATACTTTTCTTTATAAAGATGTAGAATTCCTTTTGTGACCTCTACAAAATGATTTCCAGAATAAAATGGAATTTGAGTAGGAAATAATCCTCTAGATCGGTGTTCTGAGATATTTGCACTATTATCTGATAATGCAGGTGATGTTTCTTTTTGCATTTCTAAATGTAAATCACAACATGGAGGTGATGATTCTTTTAGACTCACGCTTCTTTTTAATTTATTCAATGACGATGAAGAATCAGACAACTCTTCATTTCTACACAATTCTTTTTGTTGTAGTTCCTTTGAAGAACCATCTTTAGTACAAGGTTGATTTTCTGAACTATCTTTACTTACATGAAAAACTTGTTGTTTCTTGTCATTAAAATCAAGCTGTTCTGCTGTATTCTTTCCTCCAGCTCGTTTTTTCCTGATAGGAGGCATTGGCATATTTACATTTTTAACTTCTTCTATGCTATTGATATCAGACTGCTTTTGTTTTACTTCACAACTGATTTTTTCTTCTTTTTCTATAATTTTAGCTACATTGTCATTCTTGTCAAAATTTGTATCATTTTCTAAAGTAGGCAGAGTATCCTTGCTAGCATTCATCAGTGCTGTATTANAGAGATCTAGACAGCAATGATGAGTGAATTATTTTAAATAAGCATTTAGAATTCTACACATTTGAAATAATTTTTATTATCATGATTTCAATAGAAAAATAGTAATCTATTTTTCTACTGAAATCATTCTAAATTATTTTTATATTATCATATTCATATGAAATTCATCTAATAACGAATTTCATATCATTGAGAATAAATTTAAAGGAAATTTATAAATATTTAATGAAATAACTACAAGATGATAATCAAATTATTTTTTTAAAGTTATCATTATATTTTTATCTTATAGTTCTAATATACTAAATAATAAATCTATTCTTATTAATAATTTTATAATCTTAATAATAATAATAATTGAAGTTTAGACTATTTACAAAAAGTCTAATTAACTTTTCGAGTCCATGTTTATCCCTTATACACCACCACAGAAGTAACAGTTTTAAAATTGCTTTGAAGAACACTTCTTAAACACAGGTAAAAATTTAGTAGAAAACTTCACAATGTTAAAAAAGATCAAGTGTCAGCCTTTTCTTGTAGGTTCTGACACTTTTACAATTAAAACCACAAAGAATTCTTCACACCATTATTTTTATCCACTTTTAAAAAACGTACTACCACTAGAGGGCCAGAAGCAGTTTTTAAAAAGTGGATAAAAATAATGGTGTGAAGAATTCTTTGTGGTTTTAATTGTAAAAGTGTCAGAACCTACAAGAAAAGGCTGACACTTGATCTTTTTTAACATTGTGAAGTTTTCTACTAAATTTTTACCTGTGTTTAAGAAGTGTTCTTCAAAGCAATTTTAAAACTGTTACTTCTGTGGTGGTGTATAAGGGATAAACATGGACTCGAAAAGTTAATTAGACTTTTTGTAAATAGTCTAAACTTCAATTATTATTATTATTAAGATTATAAAATTATTAATAAGAATAGATTTATTATTTAGTATATTAGAACTATAAGATAAAAATATAATGATAACTTTAAAAAAATAATTTGATTATCATCTTGTAGTTATTTCATTAAATATTTATAAATTTCCTTTAAATTTATTCTCAATGATATGAAATTCGTTATTAGATGAATTTCATATGAATATGATAATATAAAAATAATTTAGAATGATTTCAGTAGAAAAATAGATTACTATTTTTCTATTGAAATCATGACAATAAAAATTATTTCAAATGTGTAGAATTCTAAATGCTTATTTAAAATAATTCACTCATCATTGCTGTCTAGATCTCTGTATTATTTTTAATTTAACAGACATATATATTTTTTTTCTAACTCTTTCCGCCCTGTGGGCACTAAGAGGGCCTCTTTTTGCAAGCTCATTATGGGTTCGGCCAGGCCCACAATGGGGCTGCTGGGTGGTGAGGGATGGAGCCCAACATATCCGAATGGACCATCCCCCGAAAAATTCCTGGGGATTTTTCGACCCATTCAGTTTCAAACCCAGGTCCCCCAGAGCGGTGGGCTGCCACCTTGACTGCTTGTCATTTTAACAGATATTAAAAACATATACAGTACTTATATTTTATATACATATTACTAAAATGTTTAAATTTTAGATAAGAAAGAGTTTTGGGAAATGCTTTAATTTCCTTTAAAAAGAAATGGAAACAGAAAAACAAAAGAAAATATTTCACTATATACTGTATATGTGTGTACTTTAACAATTAAAGACAATGAAAAATTTATTATTAGCATTCCAGCTATTAATAACCTTACTGAAAATCTCCTGAAAATGATAATGAAAACAAGAATGATATATAAAAAAAATTTCTTCACATGAAAGATTATTTATATTTAAAAGTTTTCCCTAAAATAATAAAAAATTTAAGAAAATAAAATTACTAATCATTATACCTCTCAATACTGTAATGAAAATATAGTAGATTCCACTTAATTGGGCCACAATGAATAGATTATTTGGTCCAATTATCCATTTGTTATCATAATTGAAAAAAACACTTTTTCCACAGTAGTATAACAGGTATAATAATATATAAAAAATAAAAAATGTTTATTAAAAAATTAATTAAAGAAAGAGCATTTATTTTTATTACAATTTTTGAAAAACACCAGAAGTAATGGTGAGCAAACATGAGAGAACACTACCATTTACCCACAAGGTGTTGTCAGGGTCACTGGCATATGTGGTTATGTTCAATTTTATTAATCCAATATACATCCAAATATAGGTTTGTATAGATCAAAAAATAGCAACAAGATAAAGCATAAAAGATATACCATTTTAAATTTTTTAATAATCCAAACCAGTTATAAGTAGCCTGACTTTGCAACCTACATTGTCTTTCACTAGAAATATGTCTAGGTGGCAAGTAGCTAAGTAAGCAAACAAATGGTACAATCTGTTACATATGAAACAGATTATGCCATTGGTTTGTTTACTTAACTGCTTGCTACAGTTTCTTCTAGAAACCTCCTGTAGCATTCAAACTGGATAACTGAACCAGATTAAGCAGACACCAAAACTACTTTGTGTCTGTTCCAACTGAACGTTTTAAGTCTAGCAAATTTGAGAATATTTTAGATTATCATTTTCTACTTTAAATCCATATATAGCACAAAATTTTGATAATTGAAATAACTGCAATTCAACTTTAGGTACACTGTATACAGTTTGCTGTTCAATTATAATTGTCACTGTCCGAGTAACAAGCTGCTTCAATTAACTAGTGCCAATTAAGTACAATCAACTGCATTAAAAAACTTGTGGGTCAATATACATATAAACATCCCAAAGCCCAATATTTTAGTAATATGCTAAATAATTGCTGTATTAAATTGGGATACTTTACTGCTGATACATCTGTGCAGTAAGAGTTGCTAGTTGAGTCCCATTCCAGGTCATTCTTTTTTCCAGAATATTCTAATTTATTTATTAAATATATGAAAAATATTACAATATTTTGAAGCACTTAATCACTTAATCTTCATTTAGAAGAAACACTTTGCATTCTGTCCTTCTAAAACCTTCAAGAACAACAGTCTCTACAGGAGGAGTCAACCTTTTTTATTGAGGCTTCTCGTCCACCTTGGTATGTAAAAACTTTTAAAATACAGTTCCTAGGTGATGGTCCAATCACAATAAATTATTTTTAAAAAGTATATTACAATTAATACTTTGTATTAATTGTAATATACTTTTTAAAAATAATTTACAATTAATACTTTGTATTAATTGTAATATACTTTTTATTTATTAAATATTAATTTAATTATGAACATTAAATTTAATAAGAGATGGCACATAGCATCTATCTCTATTACCAAAATTATTTAGAATTTAATTTAAAATAATAGCAGTGAAGTACAGATTTAATCCAGCAATCATTTAGCATATTACTTGTGGGTCAAAAGATATAAAAGGTAAAATCTAATTACCATATTTATTCACATATAGGACAAGATGTGACTTTAAAGATCAAAATAAAGAAAATTAGATTTATTAATACAATTCTAATTTTATTTCATTTAACCACAAGTAAAATATCAAATTAATGTAAATGCACACATTGTCCCGCAAAAATTACTGGCATTTTAACTTTAAGGAAAAGTGTCGTAAAATCAACAACAAAATTTGTTCATGTAAAGCTGGACAATCGGGAATCTCTTTTTGCCAGTCGGGAATTCTTAACAGTTGAGTCCACTCTCTGTTGATTACACTTATGAACTTCTCCGAATTCTGATTTCTGAATAATCATCTGTTTTCACTTGGGAATGGATTAAAACTTATATTGAGCTCCCATGTGATTTTGAAATTTCAATCTGGAATTCAATTCAAAAGCTTTGCTTTTCCTATCGCTATTCATCTGTACTCTTGACAATATACAAGAACAATTCAAACAACCATATAAAATACTATATTTTTTACATATAAGAGGGTAAGCATCTGGTAAAAAATGCAAATACACAGTTCACAAAAATTATAATCTTTCACTCATGCAGATAGGACAACCTAGGAATTTGAAGCTGTAATAAATGAATAAAAACTTCATCTCATATGCAAGTAAATATGGTATTATACATTAAATACAGTAAGACCCTGCTTAACGCTGTCTCAATTAATGCTGATTTGATATAATGCAGCCTGCTTGAAGCCTAAAAAAAGGTCAAAATTTACACTTATTCAAATTATCGTGGCAATTCATTGATTCGTATATAATATGATTATTCCTGAACATGAAAACAATCAGCAAAAGGTGGCAATTTGTCGTAGCACTGTACTTTCCTTAAATCTATGTTGCTTTGGTGCAATTTTTGAAAAAATATAACATCATGGATGTCATAGGCAATATCAACTTTGCCTGACAAGAAATAAATGATAAATGCATGAATGAAGTGTAGAAGAAATTATTGCCGAAGGTATCCAAGAATTCTCAACAAGAAGAGCCTATTGTATCATTAGGTTGACCAAATTGCCAACCTAATCAATACATCAGGACTAGAAGATGTAGACAAGCAGGATATTGAACAGTTACTTCAGGTTTATGGTGAGAGTCTTATCTTCAAGAACTGGCAGAACAAGGAATTCATGTAGAACTTGAAAATAGTGATTCTGAAAACCTTCAAGAACCAAAAGAATTTCTCTACAGATTTCCTTAGTAAAAGTTTAGTAACGATAACCAAAATCGTGGTCGATCAAATTGTAGTGAATGATCGATTTTGAAAGGAGTGCAAAAGTGAGACAAGGTGTTTTGGATGTGATCTCCTGCTACCGAAATTTGCTTAAGGAAAGAAAAAAAAAGTGACAAATGAAACTACACAACTTTATTGCAAAATACAAGAATTTCAGAAGAGCCAGGACCTTCATCACAAAATATGAACTTTATATTTCTGTGTGCATATGTTTGTGTGTTATTTAACATATATTATTATGCAAATTAATATAAAAATAACTGAAAATTAAAGTAAAATCTGTTTATTTTTGGTCACATGTTCTTCTTTCCCTATTTACTCTGTGTTAAAATGACCTTGTTTAATGCTTTTTCATTTAGTGCTTTGTTGTCTAGGAATTTATCCCATGCTTTATGCAGGGTCTTACTGTATATTAATTAGGAAAGTTATAGTTATAATAATTATAATCATAACAACTTTTTATTTTATTGCTTATACAGTACAGCAGTTCACTAATCCAGCACCTAAAGGATCAGTGGTGCAAAGACAGAATTATGGCATGTTTTCTCTACATAAAACTAAAATGTTTTATTAAATAAAAATAATTTATCCTGTTATTAACTCATAACTGTAAAACTTCACAGCTTTGAAAACAAGAAAAAAGCCAATCATTATTATTAAAAACTTCTGTATAATCCATGTACAAAAGTATAAATTTATCCTTTAATAAATTTTCCAAACTTTATAAAATATTAATAAACTGGGAAAAAAGTTTCAGAAATTAGAAATTGCTTTGTTATGCGATCAAAATTATTAAAATGAAAAATGATAAATAATACCATTTGAATTAATATTAAGTTACTTATCTTTTTTGGTTCTTTGTTATCATTTTTTTCATCAGTTCATTAATATCTGTCCTCAAATTGAAAGTGTAAATTGTGAGAGAGTTAAAATATTCCAAAAATTTTTTATCAATGTTAGATTATTCAGAGTATTAGGTTTTCTCTCAAACTTATAATACTGCATAATTAATACAGCAGTTTTAAAATTAAAAAATACAATTGATATTGTTGTATGCTTGTATATTTTAAGTGCTATAATTTTGAGAAAATTTTATGTATGTTTGGATTTTGTGAAATTTTGGATCCTGAAAATATTCTGCATCTCCTTTTCATAAGTTGCATCGTACCACAATACTTTTTGCTGCCTGCAGACAGCTATACTTGATCAGCCAAACTGTCAGCAAACAAAATTAACAAGGTAACCAAGGAAACAAATTCCCTGACTTTTTCCAAACACTAATGAAAATCCCTGACTTTCCAGATGTGTTAGAACCCTGTATTTCTCTCTTTCCTTCCGAATGTGGCATCATATGACTAATAGAATCTAGCATGATAGACCACACATTAAACAACACATATGATGAACTTCATTTTTCCAGTTGGATCTATGAAACAGACACCCTTAACTATATAAAAAAACCACCAAAACAATTGTAACTAAACAAAAAATAAGAAACAATAGTCAAGTTCACTTTCAGTTCACTCTCAGAAGATTATAATCAAACAATTTCAGATTATCATGTGCCAATTATTTGTAAAACTGTATTATTCCAATTATATTAGTAACTTTAATATTAGATAAATTTCCAATATAAAATTAAATTAAATTTCTAATATAAAATTTCCAATTAAACTTTAGTTTAATTCAAATGCTAAAACAGTAAGATCATAAGAATTTGAAGTAAACATACCAACATCATCAAATGTTTCAATAGTTATTTCGTGTAATTCTCTCCATCCGCGGTATTTCTTTTTCCATGAATCAGGGTCTTTTTCTTTTTTCTCTGCCTGCTGGTCACTTGAAAGTGGTTGGTCAATTGCATTAGCACTGTTATCTTCAGGATTTTCAGTAGGTGTATCAACTGATGGAACCGATTCCTTGATTTTTTGCTGTTCAGCAGAATGCATTATTCTTTCCAATTTTGGTGCTAAAAATTAAATATTTTAAGAGAATATTCAATACAGCATAAAGTATTGTATTTGCATTAATACTTCTATAATATTAAATATAAAAGTGTAATATTACTTCTTATATTGCATTGATATTTATTTGTATGTAAATAAGCTTTATAATTACAATAACCCAATGTATCTGTTCTTTTTACATTTCCAAAAAATCCACATACAAGAAGATATTGTCCTTATGGAAAAATGAAACATTGGTTTCAGATCTTAAAAACCAGTAAAAATAATGCAATAAACTAATCAATATAATAGGATGTGTTTAAATAATTTTAGTTAATAAATCAGAGAAAGAACAGTTGTAACTTATCTGCAAAATTGTAAAAAGTTATTCCATACTGAAAGAAATGCAATCATAAAACTTCAAATTAAATTTTTCTCTGACTCCCTCAGTCATGAGATAAAGTTAGAATAAAAGACTGATTGTTGCCATACATATTCAAATAAGCTATAAAAAAACAGTCAAATCTTAAATGATAATCAAAAATCAGAAGTACAGGACTTTGTGACCTAAAGGAAGGCAAGAGAAAAGTATATGGGATCAGACCCAAGAGATCTTTCTTGACTATTATGTTTACTGACTATAATGAAACTAAATTCATATGAAATTATTGAATTTGTTAAAGAAACAATTTACATTACAAAAACTTACATTTATTACTAGTGCACGAATGCAAAGAACTTGTGTTTATTTTTATCTAATAAATAAATTGTTCAAAAAACACAAAGATCAAAGTTTTTGAAAATAATTTAATATGCAAATTTAAGTAAAATTTTAAATAATTATTGCTGTGATACAACATTCATTATGCCAAAATTTAAAATTATAATAAATTTCATACTTTTCTATTTCAAATTTGTAAACTTAATTTTATGAAAAATTCTGAAGTTTTGAACTGTTTTTCCCAAGAGACAAGACAAGGAAAATTTTGAAGTTTCCTGGAAATTTTAACATGGGAATTCCCAAATCAAACTCCTAGTGTCAACACATCATGTCCAGTCAACTTTACTACTTATAATCAAATTGTTTACAACTCAAAAGTGGCTTAATTAATTATGTTGATTAACAGACATCCACCACCACCACCGGACATGTGCCAGGTGAGCATTGCTCGTTGTCAGTTGATTCATCCAACTGAAACACAACAAATAAGCCTACTGATTCTGACAATATAATATCAACTCACATTTCACATCATTTGTTTTTGACATTGAACAATATCATTCAAAAGAACTATCTTTATTAATTTCCATTTTTTGCCTTTTCCTTAAGCATTAAAAATTAGTTTGGCATTTATCAGTTTTTCTGCTATAATATGCTCTTTTCCAGTCCATGCTATAAACAGCAATGTTCTATAGCAGCGTTTCTCAACCGCTGGTCTGCGGAGAATTTTTACCACTCTGCATTAAAAAACTTTCTTTTTGTCAAGGGTTTTTATTTATTAATAATTACAATTAAAAACAACAATAAAAATTATACTTTTAGTAAATACTATTAATTTAATTTTTTAGTAATCATAAGACTGATTTTTTATTCTCTGCTATATGCAATATTTTTACGATATTATCATGGTTTTCTGTGATTTTTGTCAAAGATTTATGTATATAAAATAATAATAATTTTACAATTTACTTCTGTAGTAATTCTTTAATATCTAGTAAAAGTTTTTGTTAAAACACCACCGGTCCGCGAAATTTTTTTCACAAATTTTACCGGTTTGTGGGCCAAAAAAGGTTGAGAAACGTTGCTCTATAGGACACCTCCATAGCATTAGTGTTTTCACTATCAGAAGCACTTTTTATTTATGACCTTTTTATTCTGTATCAACTTTTTGTATTTGCTTATAGAGAACTTAAGTATTATGATGTATTAGTATACATTTGGACTCAAAACATAATTTAATCTGTTTCTCTGCTTTTTCGGTTAAAACTTCATAACTTAAAACACAACTTGGTTCATGTTTTTTTATTATTTGTCTAAAAAAAAATTATCTTCAAGTAATCACTCTCAAGTAAATCGTCTGGAGTAATGCTACTCACAAAAGCGAGTAGCACTTTCTAGATAAAGATGACAATTAAATCATGTGTCTAGATAAAGATGTTTAAATTGAAGCATGATAAATTAATCATATTTCTAAAGATGACAATTAAAGCAATAGCAAAGTTTTGCTATTGCTTTAATTGTCATCTTTATCTAAAAGCAAATATAAACATTACATCAAGCATATCTTTCATTCTTTGCATAATTTGTATTTATTTATATTTTCATTTCTTTACTGCATCTTACACTTGCTTAATCTGTATATTAAAATCTCAGATTTAAACCAGTGATCCAAACAACTTTCCTCTTTTGACTGATTCAGTGTCACAATTTCAACATCAAAATCAAAGTAAATACAGTAAAACCTGTCTATGGCGACCACCCACGGTTCTTTTAAAAAGTGGTCTTTTAGACAGGTGGTCGTCCAATACAGGTGGTCCTGTAATAACGTATTTCCGTACGTATTTTGCGCACTTTTTAGCCATTTCTACTAAACAAAACTCGAGGTGAGCAAAAATAAGCGAATTTTTTCAACGATAGGGCTATATTGGTATTGTATTTTATTTTAAAGATTAATACAATACTCGCATTTTCTCGATTATAATGCACACTTTCTTTTTTCCCACTTAATTAATTCGACTCGGTTTTTTTCGTTCTCTCCTCAGTTACGTGTATTATGTCATCAATATACAAGCGCGTCCTACCTCTCCATCACTTTGCTTTTGGTTTTCGTTAGTTTAATCATATTTTAACTTTAAAAATACTGTATTTTTTAATATTTGATATTTTCTTAATTAATTAAGTACAATAAGAAAAATTATTAATAATAAAACGATTTTATTAATTTTTTCGTTGTACGATTTCATTACAATCGCGGAATCGAAAAAGGAAGTAAAACTGATTTTTGCATTAATGCGTTTATTGTTTTTTGAATATTTTGCCTGCGAAAATTACTTGGATATTATTTTTCTAAAAATATCGCGAAAATAAGGTAGGTTGATACAGGAACTATTTATTGCACGTGTACTGTATATGAGCTTCAAAATAAATAAATAAAAATAGATTTTATCAAACGATGAGATCAGCTGATTAATTGTATCGTGTACAATATTTTACATCCCCAAGGAAAATACTGTAGGTCTACGGTAAAATCAATTTCGTTTTCCCACAGTTAAAATTCGCCGCTAATTGCTGTTGTGATAACTTTAATTAATTAATAATACGATCTTCTAACGACAGTACATTTCTTTCGTTTTTCGGACATTTTCCAACAAACTGAAATGAATTTTCTTTGTTGCTAGACTAATTTATTAACACCTGCACCTAATTTCGAGGGTGGGAGAAGTGCCCTGGATGGGTTCGAACAAGCGTTTAGACTAATTTATTATATTAGGAGGGAAAACGTTGTTGAGATGGGTTCTTACAATAGTTTAGACCAGATACATTCGCGAAAGTGGTCGCTTATTACAAGTGTTGTATGTTGTTTCGGACCAAAACTCGATGCCCGCGGTCGCGTTACACAGGTGGTCGTTTAATACAGGTAACTTATACGAAGACTCTATGGATAAACTATTCCGTGCCAGAAATTTTTGCCCATTTTGACAGGTGCCCGTCGAATGCAGGTGGTCGCCTAAGCAGTTTTCACTGTATATGAATGTAAGGAAAACTGTGTTATTATTATACAGGTTATAGAGTAGACAATGATTAAAGAGTATATGTGAGGTAACTAAATAAATGATGTTGTTTTTGATATGTGAATAAAAGTGTTTGTATTTTTTGTTTAAAATAATTTTATTCATCAAAATATTTACTTTCACATTCAATTACACTTTCTGAACAAGAGGGTAGTCTGAAAATACCTTTTTATAAATAATTTGAATGACTCCCAAAAAAAAATCTACGTTCATCACAAGTACTTGAATGTTGGTCAAACCCTCACAGAAGATCTGTACAATGAGCAGCTACAGAGTACAGTAATACCCCAAACTTATGCGATAGGTGAGACCTAACGATAACTGCGTAAGTCAAATTCGCGTAAGTCGGGGTATAATTTCGTAATTTGTGTAAAACACAAATCGGATGTATGATGTATGTAAGCTAATAAATGTTCTCGTTAATCTTATCTTGTCTTTTGATTCGTTCACGGTTAGAAGAAATTACCACATAAAGTCTCTCGAGTCTCCATAGATATAAAAAACACAGAAATAAATAACACAAAATAAATTGTGGCTATGTGTCGATTCCGCGCGACATGTCTGAACATGTAAGCCGAACAATAGTGTAGGGCAGGGGTCGGCAACCTGCAGCTCACGAGCCACATGCGGCTCTTTGGATGTGAAGCTGCGACTCTTTAGTTCCATGCACAAATATTTATTTTATCAAAAAAAACATTTAAAAATCGTTTGAATCGATTAACGAGGATTAGGCACCGATTCTATCTCTCAGCCACTTGTACTCGCTATTCACCGCACCCCCCAGTGACATGCATCGTCACTGTCGTCAGTCTGTCAGAAGCTCTCGAATGACGCCGTCGTCGGATGTTTCTATTATCTAATTTGTTGTGAAAAACACTACTTATATATGAATAAATAGATATTTTTTCTTATGAATAAATAGATTAGTTTTTTATCAAAAAACTTTATTTATGCAAGTACTATTTATTGTTGGCAAGAAAAAATTTTGTGGCTCTTTAAAAACTTTGAAATTTTGTAAATTGTAATTTTGGCTCTTCCGACTCAAAAGGTTGCCGACCCCTGGTGTAGGGGATTGAGTAATCAAGAGTTGCTTGGCACTCAAACAAAAGATGAATCGACGAGATTTGAAAATCGTGTAACTCCGGGTTCGTGTAAGTTGGGGTAGCGTAAGTCGAGGTATTACTGTACATGACAAATTAAGGCTAAAACAGCCACCTTTAGCAAATCAAGG